AATTTTTCATTGAAATCAGCAAGTGTAATTTTTTCGGAAAGGTGTCAACTACAAAAGTACCAGAATTAAAAGCATAAATTAATTCATTGCCGGATTTTTGGTTTCTGCTTCTCAAGCGGTGCGTCATGGCCGCTGTTTCCTGTCTCTTTCCAGGCTTTAGAGTGGCTTGATTGCCTAATAAAGCCATCTTAAGCTTTCCCGTTGTTTTCTATGCCAAATAAAGATTTCATTTCTCTTCCGGTTAACATGGTTCGTAATAAACGACGAGCTATTTATTTAAGAGGCATTTGAAACAAAGAATTTTTTTTTATTGAAGTTTATTCCTTAATATCGGAATTAAAATCTGGAAAAAATTCTTACTGCATTTTCTTTCTAATTCTTTGATCAGTACAGCTTTGAATAGTCCGAGAATTGTTGCAGAAGTGTAATTTACGTTGCAGTCAACGTAGTAACACCGGTTTGTAAACTGAAGTGTCTTCGGAGTGGGGATGCCTGCCGTTCAACAATTAATGCTTGGTGGATGATTTTAATAAAGCATATAAGTATTTGTTTGCTTTTCATGAAAGGAAAAACATGTGCGAAGCAAACTAAGTAAATGTTCCCACGTTTAGCTGAAACTCGTTGACGCGGAAACCATTAGCTAGCTGTGACTCATTGGAGGTTAAACGTATCTAGAAACTTCGTTTGTCATGACACTGATAAATATACTTATAAAAATCACAAAGTAGTAATAAAACAATCTCCATAANAAGCATAAATTAATTCATTGCCGGATGTTTGGTTTCTGCTTCTCAAGGGATGCGTCATGGCCGCTGTTTCCTGTCTCTTTCCAGGCTTTAGAGTCGCTTGATTGCCTAATAAAGCCATCCTATGAGCTTTCCTGTTGTTTTCTATTCCAAATAAAGATTTCATTTCTTTTCCAGCTAACATGGTTCGTAATAAACGACGAGCTATTTATTTAAGAGGCATTTGAAACAAAGAATTTTTTTATTGAAGTTTATTCCTTAATATAGGAATTAAAATCTACAAACAATTCTTACAGCATTTTCTTTCTAATTCTTTGATCAGGACGGCTTTGAATAGTCTGAGAATTGTTGCAGAAGTGTAATTTACGTTGTAGTCAACGTAGAAACACCGGTTTTGTACACTGGAGTGTCTTCGGAGTGGGGATCCCTGCCGTTTAACAATTAATGCTTGGTGGATGATTTTAATAAAGCATATAAGTATTTGTTTGCTTTTCATGTAAGGAAAAACATGTGCGAAGCAAACTAAGTAAATGTTCCCACGTTTAGCTGAAACTCGCTGACGCGGAAACCACTAGCTAGCTGTGACTCATTGGGGCTTAAACGTATCTAGAACCTTCGTTTGTCATGACACTGATAAATATACTTATAAAAATCACAAAGTAGTAATAAAACAATCTCCATAACGATCTCGCCAAACAACTATCAAAACAGTCTTCAAGACACAAAGTATTTAACAACTTCCATCAGGCGCTTTGCGAGGAGTCACGCTAAGGCTAGTGTCCAGATCTCTGTGCATAGTTCGCTCTCAAAACAAACCTCAGAGAGTAATCGATCTCAAGTTACTGCACGTTCAGACTTCTGCACTGATTACTAACAAAGTGGCTTTTAATTCTTAAAGATTTGATTTGCCCTGTGTGCATGGAAGGAAGAGGCATCGTATAAACGCAACGGAAGTTCGTTAAGTACTAGCTGAGGTCACAGATCATCAAGCTTCGGGACATTTGGATAGTATGCGACATTGAAAGGAGATCACGCTCAATTTCGTCGTTCGAGCGGAGGTCGATCACAACACTGATAACTACAGAACAGAGGATGTAT